TTGAAAAGCCCTGGAAAACATGTCATGTAGCAGACACATGTAGTCATCCCACGCTTCCTGAACCGCTACTCGGCGGCTACAAACGGCCTCAAGAAAGGCGGTACTGGCGGGGTTGGAGGCCCATGCCGCTTCCAACAAGTTACGCCAATCGTCCTGAGCAATTTCCTGAGGCTTTTCCCAAGAAACAATTGCTTGCAGTGCACCACGGGTACAGTCCTTAGTGTGAATGGAAACCAGGTGTTGCACACGCCGACGATGAGCGATCGGGCGTTCAGATGCGTTCTGACTCATCGACGCTGCTTCCCCAAGGCCTCTGAAGCTCCTACAGATGGGAAACACCATCGCAAAATTGGGACGCCAAGACGGTCCTTTTTGCCGCCGCCCGAGCTCCTTAGTGGCGAGGCAATAGGAAAAAACAGTAAACGCGGGACAGGATCTGCTGCATCCTCGGCTACGGCAATGAGGTTCCAGGAGCTTCCGCCATCGAAAGTACCCTTAACGCGTATGGGGGTAGGGTCTTGGTTCAGAACGTGCCTACTCGTTGGCAGGGTCCTCATGAAATTGATTGGGTGGCTACTAGTCGCCCGAACTTGACAGAGGTGCCTAAATGCAGTAGCTTGGTTTTTTCGGACCACAAGGCTGTGGAGACTCAGCAAAACCCTGGGAAGAGCCCACACTAAGCCCCTCGCCCTTGGACAAACCAGCAGCCCGGGCAGTATCTAAGGTGCTGGCCGCTCCTAAACCTTGGGAAACTGAGGCCTGAACCAGCATCGATGGGTCAGAACGCATCTGAACGCCCGATCTTTCATCGGCGTCCTTTGCAAAACCAGCAAAATCTTGGGAGAGCCCACACTAGGCCCCTCGCCCTTGGACGAACCAGCAGCCCGGGCAGTATCTAAGGTGCGGCCGCTCCTAAACCCCGAAAACCCGAGGCTTGAGCCGGCGTCGATAGCTCGAATGGCCCGCACCACTCGGATTTTCGCCTGAGCCACTCAGAAAGCCCCTCGCTAGGGCTCGGAGAGCGCTGCCGAACAGGCCGTAACCAGTTTGAGATCAAAGAACTCGATCCAGCATCAGAAGCTGCTCCCCTCAAGGATTGTGAGCTTCGCTTTTTGCCGGCCCCACCATGAAACGACACAAAAACATCATCTTGCGTGACATCCAGCTCCTTCCATCCGAGAGGTAGCTTGGTTTTAAAAGGAAGCGTGGTAAAATGTCCATCCTTAAGGAAAAGGCATGTAGGAGGCCCCTTCTGAGAAACAGGAGGCTGAATACGTGCCATAAACTTCCATTGGCCCTCAACAAATTTCCACACACTGACGTCGCATTGCAGGACCCTAGAAGCCGCCACACACATGTAGTGATCAGCCCACTTTGTAGGGCGCGCAACCGCAGTCAAACACTCGTCCGCAGTAGTGGGACACGGACCACCCTCCGTGGCCTGAGTACTCTCAGGGTCAGGACTCCAGGCTTGCCGCCAGCCCCGATTATCCTGCAACCACACATGGATCTTGACACGAAGACTTTAGCCGCAACAGTGTCGGCATCAATTCCATTACGCCTAGCCTGCATGCCAGTAAAGCAGCGCAGGGCACAATCACCACCATTGCTGCCATAGTCATGCATTTCAACCCCGTGAGGTCCAGGACCCTGCAAACCTGTAGGTTTGGCCGTTTTGGCCTTAGGCGCACTGCGTTGAGCATCTGCCGTCTCATCCTCGGCTGCACGATTAGCTCCCGCCGCTGCGAGCCCCTCCTGGTCCACCTGCATATCAGGACCATCAGTATCCTTAGGCGTATCCTTAGGCATAGCTGCAGACTGAGGCTGCCGCTCACCCTCGAAAGCGCCCCAAGCATGAGCAGCCCTCAAGGGTGTGAACTCTGGTTTAGGAAGCACCTTTTTCCACGGTGTAATGACCAGTGGCTTAGAATCGAAAATGGACAACACAAAACAGTCCTCTTTGCACGACTCAGGTCTAGCAGCACTAAATGTCCAGACTCCGCCAGGCCTAGCCGGTGGCTGAACATCTTTAATGATCCTCCACTTATTGGATTCCAACATGCCCTGAAACTGGGACGGATTCCAGTGCTTAGGGACCTGTTTGGCAACCCAGCGTCGCTGAACGCACTCCCCATCAGGCGTAGGTGCGGCAGCACCAACCAGCCCGAGGCTGGCCCTGCCCCCTCGCCTAAAAGCCAGCATGGTGTTTTCCTGGCCAGCCTGTTAGCGAGTCGTTTCCAAGTAAGTGCTTCGTGGTTTAACTTTGTCATCCCTTGGAAGCCAACGAACCGCCCCGACCGAGCTGATCGAACTTTTAGGAACAACTAAAGAAAAGAAAACTCCCTGTTCCCCGGACTGAGCCAGCACAGACTGTGTTTGTCGCGGGGGAACCTTCATAAAACCGATGACACAAGCTTCTCTCGCCTCTGCGTGCAATCCGTAGCCTCTCGTCCACACACCCTGGGGCAGTAGGGACTCAAGCAACTTTCCAGGCTTAGTTTGAACGAGCTGCCAGTTTGCTGCTGAAAGAAACTTCTGTGGGCAAGCCACCCGAACAGTGTCAAGCTTTTCCGGCCTCTCAAGATTCTGAGGGCACTGCGCTACAAACGGCTCCGTACCCCAGTTAAGGAGGTCGGCGTTCAGAGGAGTAACCGAAACCTGACGCCGCTCTCCGTTACGCAACTCCACCTGCGCGTCCACTCCCGGCCCCCAAACCTGGTTGATTTTAGGGGAAAATTTAGGGGAAAACAGGGGGGGGAGCCTTACCAGCCTTCCCACCACCCTTTCCCTTCCCTTTACCCTCAGACTGAGCTCCTTGCGGGACGGCGGGACGGCTTGCCCCTTCCCCCCCACAGGGCCGGGCGGGGAGCCGAGGCTCATTACTGAGAGTGGTAGCCTGCGCAGCATTTAATACGGTCCTTGCTTAAGGCCTCCACCTTTGACAGCACCCTTAGCTTTGCCGCGGCCAGTCAGAAGCAACAGGCTCGTCGTCCTCCAAATCTGGGAGCCTTGCAAACAAGTCCTGAAGCCCAGCCACAGTGAAGTTTTCCTGCCGCTGTCTCTTAGTGACCTGCTCTCCCGCAGGCCCTGGGTTACTAGCCTCCCCTACGCGGCACTCTCCCAAACAACCTGCGTGGAGGCACAGCCACAAGGCAACGTAAGAAACCACTAGAACAACCCTAGCAGTCTGCCGCAGTGCTGGGGGCCACGCTCTAGGGCCGGGACCCTTAACTGCAGGACCTACGTTCTGAGGCCTGAGCCCGTTACAGGCACGTGTTCCACAGCTGAGAGTACTGAGCCAACACGCCTTCCTTGCAACCCTCAGGCGCAGAGCCCGCCGTCTACAGCAGAGCCTAGCAGCAACAACCCGCCTGGCCCTGGCTTACAAAACGGCAAGGCCTCAACGACAGGTGTGTTTCTGTCTCCCGCGCCCCCTTGAGCGCCCTCTTGCCACGACTACCCAGGTGCTTTTTACGGCACCTACGTGTCAGCAAACGCCCCAACTTGCGCCGCGACAACTTGCCACAGCTAGCTTGTACAGAACTCACTTGCGCCCTCTGCAACCATTTCCGGACAAACAGAGAACAGCCAGTGAAAATCAAAAGGCCCCCCATCCCTACTAGAGCGAGGAACCAAGCAAAATTAAGGCCCTCGAAGGTGCCCTCAGCACAAGAAGCCAGGAGAAACCGAGCTCCCCTAAAACCACTCTCCCAGGCCCGCACTATATACAGACCAGGCCTAGAAGGTTTCAAGCCAAAAATGTTGGCCCAATTCCATGGGCCACAAAAGTTCCTAGCAAAAAATTGCAAGCAAGGCTCCATCCAGCCCTTCTCACAAGCGAACTCCACGAAGAGCTCCGCATTGCCCGCCGTGCTGTTGGACTTCACCGCCACGGCATCAGCACTTACTAGGCGCGGCTGCTTTGCAGCAGGGGGCCAAGGTGGCCATTGTTTAGCTGCATCCAAGACACCAGAAGTACTCGAGGTCGTTGTTGCAGGACAAGGGGACCCACAAGCACACCCAACAAGGAGGGGAAACAACAAAAGGTACACGGGATGGGACCGGCTCCTCACTCTTGGTGTCACCTCTTGTTTTCTTTTAGAGCTCTTGGCCTCCATTGAGGTCTTCATATTCATCTTGATTTTCTTTTGCGATCCCTGGGGTGGGGATCTATCTGAACAACTTCGCTTCAAGGCATGCCCAGGGCCTTGACCCGCTTCCGCCAAGCATCTGCAGGGGGCGTTGTCGAGGAAGCCGGAGGCCCCAAGGCTCCGTGTCAGGATTCTACCCGGGGTCGTTCTTGCTGCGTCCAGTTGGACAAAATACCCGGTTTGAGAGAGTCAGTCGAACTGTTGGAACGGCGCAGTAGTCGTAGCATCAACAGGACATTCATTTTTGGTTTGCTTGGTATCATGCAGTTCGTTGCGTAGGCAATTAAAATAGTTCTGATTCTCAAGATAATGTTCATGGCA